GATGCTATAGAAGAAAGCTTCCGCAATAGTTGTCTTGCCTATACCACCCATGCCCCAAATTCCTATAATGCGGACATCTGATGACACAATGGATAGTAATTTGTTGATTTTCTCAATGCGTGAATCTACTCCAACCAGACCTCTTAATTTGCATGGGGAAGCACGACTTAACCTCTTACAGATAGTTTGCACAACTTCTCTTATGAGTTTGGCCTCCGGACTGCAAAAAATGAAAGAAGCATCTTCAACTTCTCTTATGAGTAAATTTTTTTTTTATTATAAGCAGCATCGATATTGTACCCTTAAGGTGGAAGTCCATTGGCTGTTGATGGAAATTAGTTTTGCACTAGAAAACAGAACAGACTTGTGCCTTCCTAAGCAAAAAAGATTTACAGGAGAGGAAAACAAACTATAATATGCACAAGAAAATTTAATTGCTATAAATAACTTTTAATTGCTATAATTCCAGGAAAAAAAAGGTTGAAGAAGAGAATCTATAGTGACTAATATATAGTTACCTCGTAACCTGTGAATCCCATCCAGATATACTGGCTGCGTATGTCAAGTCAGTCCTCCACCTTGGCACCTTGTCCATCTTCCCCTTAAAAAAATTTTCAAGCTCAGCAAATGCATTTCCAAAACTCCCAGTCTGTTCATCAACATCAGATGGGTCTACATGATAGAAGATCGGTAAAACAATCTGCCCATAAGTCTCTTTGCATTCAAGTATTTTCACCAGTTCATCCACACACCACGGAGAAGATGCATAGTTCTTGGAGAAAATTACCACAGAAATTCTTGATTCTTCAATCGTTTTCAGAAGGGCAGGGGTAATTTCTTCTCCTCTTTCAAGCCCATCATCAATGAAGGTCTTCATTTTCTTACGACACAAAGCATCATAGAGATGGCTGGTAAAATTGTTGCGCGTATCCTTGCCTCTAAAACTAAGGAACACATCATGCTTCCATTTATGAGCAACAGCAGATGAAGATGCCATATCAGACAGTTACATGATTGTGTCTTCCTCAATCACTAAGAATCGAAATCAATAAGTGCTCTCCTTTTTCTCCTAAAGACATACAAAGAGCACCCATTTCAACAGCTGAACATTCATTAAGAGAAATTTAAGTCTAAGAGTACAAGAACGCACACAACATATATTTATCAGAAAATTCCTCAAACTCTTAACGATGGATATGATCTATCTTAATTTGATCACTCGTCACTTGCTACCCATGCTAGCTTGCTATTACTTCCATTGCAAGAACAGTCACTAGCGGAGCAAAAAGAATTACAGATGGAAGAATTAATACGTTCATGAATCAAACTCGTATATATAATCTTAAATATAGAAGACAGCATGGAGCAGAAAGACTTACCAACAGATCATAAGAACAGTTGACTTGTGTTTTGCATCGGCAAGACGAAGAAGAAGCTGCATAGTGTTGATGATAAGAGACGATTTTTCTTGTCTATTGTCTTCTCCTTCTCCTTCAAGTAAATACTTACAGAAAATCTGATCTCATCGTTATAATCTAAATGTAATATCATAGAAACAGGTGAATGTGAGAAGACTTTGGGATCAATACCAAATACATTGGCCAATGGACTTGTCAATGGCAACGGTCTGAATCTGTTAAATTTAAATAAGCAATAATTACAATATTGCCTTTCTTGAGTTAATGGACAGCGATTAACCTCTCTTAAATACTTGGATGCGTATGTATTTTATATATATTTTTTTAAAATCAATGGAGGTTGGTTGAGAACTCCAATTTCTTCAGCCTTGATATAATTGGAAGGACCCTATCTTTTTTTAAAATTTGCAAAGTCAACACTGCCTTGCATCAGCTAAAAGTCAACACGTTAAAAGGGGTTTAATATAATACTTTTTTTTAAGAAAAAAAAGAAGAAGTTTGTCTGGCTAGGCAAGGAAAGTTTCTTCGGGGGCTTTGTTAATCTTGATTAATAAATAACTAGCTCTCATTAATCTGGGGTTGTGATATGCACACTCTTTGACTTGCACCACAAGAAAACCATCACTGTATTTTTTTGCCTTTTGATTCAACCCATAGGCAATGACTTTGTCTTTTACAAATTTAATAATTGTCACATTCGAATGTTCAATCCCAGTCATTACCTAACCCAAGGGATCTTAGCCTAACCGAGCTTCGTAGAGTTTAACTGAACAGAGCTCGATTGGACAAAGACCTAACCCAATTGGGGGGCCTATATATATATATATAGTATTATCACTACCATTTATTTTAATTTACTATAAAATTTAGTAACCTTCTCCAATTTCCACAACAGAGGATCTAAAGAGTTTTATTATTTGTATGATGATAATAATTGGATCTATCTTACAAAATATTATCCGAGTTCTCTTAAATTTTTAACCTAGTTCAAACTCAATTTTCCTAATCTATTAATTTTTTTCGTATAGATAATGTAATGGAGTGCTATAAGAATAGTGTTTTCCTATAAAAAAAAACATTTTCTCAAAATGGTATAGTTCTGTAATGCTCTCATGTCCATGAACTTATGAACATAGTGGGCATGCAATACTATAAGGAATGTTTATAGGAGAAGTTTCTCTAATAGCTCTGTGCTATATCACTCGTGTTCACTGATTTGTTATTGTAATATCTTCCCGTATAGGTTGCACTGCATGATATATTACGGCCTTGTATTAAGAATAATCTCACACTGCTCTGAATTGAGGATATTGCATCGCCAGTATAGTCCTATTCACAACCTTCTGGATTTCATGATTTTCAGTATTGCCACGTTATACAAGACTCAAGTATGCTAGTATTGTAAATTCTGAAGTCTGAAGGGTAGTTTAACTAGTTAATTTTAAATTTATTTTTTTAAAATTAATAATTTAAGTTATATAAATTTTAGAGTCACTAGAATATTATAGATTTCAAGATCTTAAGAAATTAGTTGAGATATACATAAATTAATCAAACATCTATAATTAAAAAAAAAAAGCTAATAGTATAACATCTCACAGTATGAAAGCAATGAAAGGCCGAAGATTTTTATCTTCTTTTTTGGCTTCCGCTCTCTACTTGTGGGATGGAACCCTTTTTGTAAACAGATTAGCTGAATCTGATTATATCCATGTTAATTTTCTTGGTGAGCCCAAATTAGCAAAGTCAACTCTGCTTTGCATCGGCTAAAAGTGAACACGTTAAAAGGGGTTAAATAAAAAAAAAAAAGAAGTTTGGCTGGATGTGAAGAGAAGATTCTTTGAGGGCTTTGTTAATCTTGATTACTAAATAACCATGTCTCATTAATCTGCCGTTGTGATAGGCTGTTTTTTATCCAATTATAAAGAAAAACTTGTTTAGTTAATAAAAATTGTTCCTAAATATAATTATATTTCAAATATTGATTTATTTTATATGTAAAAATCTATTTTATATTAGTTTTAATCAAATATATATTTTTTAAATCTATATTTTTAAAACTGCATCTAAAAGTATTTTTTTTTAAATTTATTTATTCTTTAAATTGTAATCGTAAAAACCTACGCGTTAAATAACTCTCCCTTTCTTTGTTTTTTTAATTAAATCTCGAGGACTATTTCGAAATTGGATCAAATTTAATCAAGGTTTGTTGTTCTATTTAATATAATTAAAAAGAAAGGGAGAAAATTATAATTGACTTTCTTGTACTATCTTATTGAAAACTATTGTTGGCTTTCTTGCATATAACGCAATAATGCTTTGTAGTTTGATATAAAGGTCCAAAACAAAGCTGCTTTTTAGGTTGATCCAATGGAGTTCTGTAAGTAAATTACAGGAGTAAGTTGGATGGGAATTATTTGAAATCAAATTAAAAACTGAAATGCAAATGCTATTTTGTTTTATGAGAAAACAAAAGCCTACAACCCATTTGAACTTGCATTGTCTTTTGGACTAAACAGGAAAAAAAATCCTTGTGATAAACAAAACCCAGTAAGCTAGAAGCAACAGACTTATGGTTTTGCGAGGGAGAAAAATGAAATTTGATGAAGTTCTCCCATTCTCCTTTACCCTAAAATAAATTACCTTTAGAGTGATGATTGTCTTAACTCCATTATTGCCCTAAAATAAATTACCTTTAGAGTGATGATTTATGTAGACATTGCTGGAAATTAAAAAGTAAACGACCCTTAAATTTGAATTCCGAGAAAGATTGCATTATCCAGCAAATTCTTGATGGTGCTCTCAGCCAAAATCAACCATGAGAAAATGAAAGCAACTATAAAAACCATCAAAAAGTGTTTTTGAGAAAAAAAGGTTTAGTGATTAGAAGGTTTGGAGATTTCATCAACTACATTCGTAAGTACTTGCCTGTCTCTTGATGTTACAACAACAACCCTCCCTGCACCAATAAAAGGTACTTCAATTAAATGCTGGAATTGTCGTACATCATTCACATCATCCAAAACAAGGAGAACTTTCTTTTGGCAGAGTCTATCCCTGATGAAAGATGGTATATGTGGTGTGCCAACGCGAAGATTTTCTTCCTCCAGTAATTTTGAAAGAAGTTCATCTCGTAGATCATTTAATCTATCCTTGTCTGATTCCTGCCTTATGTTCGGAAGAAAGTGGCAGCCTTCATGTTGATGACTTGAGATGCTATTGTAGAAAGCTTCCGCAATAGTTGTCTTGCCTATACCACCCAGAAAGCTTCCGCAATTTGTAGAAAGCTTCCGCAATAGTTGTCTTGCCTATACCACCCATGCCCCAAATTCCTATAATGCGGACATCTGATGACACAATAGATAGTGATTTGTTGATTTGCTCAATGCGTGAATCTACACCAACAAGACCTCTTAATTTGCTTGGGGATGCACGATTTAACCTTTTCCAGATAGTTTGCACAACTTCTCTTACTAGTTTGGCCTCCGGACTACAAAAAAATGAAAGAAGCATCTTTAACTCAAATTGTATCTTTACGTCGAATAAAAAAATCTATATACTGATATAGAAATAAATTTTTAAAACAATATTATTTTAATATATTTTTAAATAAAAAATATTTTAAAATGCAATTTTTATTACACTCGCAAACATACTTAGATGATTTGAAAAGAAAATTTTAATTAATAAAAAAGAAATTTAGAAATTTAATTTCTCATTTTTCATTCCTCTTCTTTCTTTACTATATCTAATTTTAGCATCCAGACAAAGAAAACAAACTTAATTTATTTCAATTGCTTTCGATTTAAAGCCAATACACTATCTGAACCAAGATCATGTTTTTACAGATATATGCTCGGAGTAATTATGGCTGTGGTGGCTTCGTTAGGATACGAGAGTTCATTTCTCAAATGCCACATTGTATCATTCAGATAATATTCAAAGTGTTTATTTATTTATTTATCATAACAATTAATGTGTTTTATAAAACAACTAAATGTTGGGACCTATGATCAATACTCAGAATTAAGAATACACAATTTAAGTGTTTTATGAAATATATGTATTTTACAAGATAAAATCTATTTTTGTTTGCTTTGATTTTTAAATTAAAATGAAATACACTGACTATTTCAAATAAAATAAAATAAAATTGATAATCTTACCTATCAATAATTAGTCAAATTAATGGACTTAGATAATAAAGTAGGATAAATATGATGTTGTATAGTGAAACTGTTCTTTTTTACCAAAATCATATAATGAATTGAAGGTGTGAAGTGTGATTGGGTTTTAGAGCTGGTTAAATATTGTGATAATAATTAATTTTTAAAATATTTTTATTTGAAAATATATTAAAAAAATTTTAAATTTTTTTTTTGATATTAGTACATCAAAATAATTTTAAAATATCAAAACAATATTAATTAAAAATTAATAAATATTAAAAATTTATTTAAAAAAAAAATAATTTTGCAAAGCGAAAACAAATATCTGATAATTTATGTGTCTATATACAGAGATAACATATCGGTTACTACAATCTTAAAATTCATTCTCTCTGCACCTTGTATTTAAAAGAGTGCATCTTGTTGATGATAACTTCAAATTCAAACTCGAAATTAAAAGAAAAGGAGAAAATCTCTTTACCAATCTCAATCGAGGCATTGAAACTTCAAAAGCCTAGTTTAAGCATCATAGGTAGGAGCAACGACCCAAGAAAAAAACATAGTAAAGACTGTGTGAGTCACTATACTATTAAACAGTTTTATTGACAAATTAATTTATATCGATGTAAGGCATGAAAATCATCAGTAATACTTTTATTAAAGGCATTGCCAACATAATAGGTCTATCGAAGGCATGATCATCGATAATTTCTCATTCCATCACCAGTTCTGTCAATAATTAAAAAAAAAAACAAACAACGACGGAATATCGATGGTAGGGGTGATCATTTTCGGTTCGGTTTGGTTTTTATCAAAAAAAAGTAACCAAACCGAAAAAAAAAATTGAAAAAAAACCCGAAACCGAACCGAAACCGGGTCAAACCGACCGGTTTTGGTTCGGTTCG